CACCGTTCATGATACAGTCGGCTAAACTGCATTTTTGGTCTGCTTTAGGGGGTTGATATCTGAAAAAACAGATGACTCTCTCTTCTTTGTGGACACTGGTGAAGCAGATGAAAAAGATACTCGAGCACGTGAGTGTAAAACCTCCTCTCTTTACTAAGTTAACAGTTTTTTCCCTGTGCAATCCATAACTGCTGTTCTTGTTATTAGAGACGACAGTCAAGAAAGGTAAACACTCTAAACCTCTGCGGATAGATCTCATCCTTCAGCCAGATTCACACATACCGGCCCCGAAAAAGTGAGTACAGTACGACTAGCTGTACGATTTACTTTCAAAATGAACTGTAACCTGTATCCTCTTCTGGAGGGAGCTTCTGCCCACTGATGATCTCATCCTTGCGCTCCCAGTATTTCTTTGGGAATGTGAAGATAAAACAATGGAGCTTGGAAGGCTGTTGTGTGAACGGCCTTCCAGGATCTGAGGGCATTTTCTCCAATAAAAAAAATCTCTTCTTTCTTTTTGACCAGTGCCGTTTTATCTAGAGAACAGGGTGATGATTTAATGGTGAAGAAATTATATATTACAGTTAAATAACCGCATATGAAACATGCGCACAATTGGGGATTAATATTTCATTATAAGCATATCATGTCTTCGCTGTCGATTTAAGTCTATTTTATTTGTATAGCACTTTTCGCAATACACTTTTTATGTTTTTAATAATAATAGTTCACTTACAGAACAAAAATGTACAGATAATGTACTCACCCCCTTGTCATCCAAGATGTTCATGTCTGTCTTCAGTCGTAAAGAAATTGTTTTTTTGAGGAAAACATTTCAGGATTTCTCTCCATATTCTATGGTGCCCCCGAGTTTGAACATCCAAAATGTAGACTCTAAACGAGCCCAGCCGAGGAAGGAGGGTCTTATCTAGTGAAACGATCTGTTATTTTCTAAAAAAAAAACACAATTACTGTATTGGCCCGAATATAAGACGACCCTGATTATAAGACGACCCCCCTTTTCCCAGATGTACCTTTTGGAAAAAGGCTTTTTAGAAACCAAATCTGTTTTTTTCTCAGTAAAAAACATTTTGTCTTCAATTATTTTCATATTGCATATTTTTCCTATTTTAATTTGTTTTGAAAATATGGTAAAAACTGGTAAAATGTACAAACAATCACATTAAACTAGTAAAATGTACAAACAATCACATTTCAAAAATATACACTTTTTTTGATATACCATTAAAAAAAAAAACAGGTAGCCCATCTGAATTAGGACATTTAGGCTATCCATCTAATAGCAGCCTACCAACATCTTATTAACAGTAGAAGTTCAATCTTACTGTGGTCTTCAAATCTGGGTACTGTCTTGCGTTTTAAAATCACAAAGGG